AATATGGAAAAGTAGACAATGGTTTAAAATTAAGGCATTATGGATTTTGCTTTTATAAAAATATTTGTGAAGATGACTATTCAAGAGATACAAATTACGTATCTAAGCTATACAATATGATATTGACAAAGACAACTACCACAATCATGGCAATACATCTATCTACTCACCTCCATGTATGTACAAAATCAAGCACATGAACATTAGGAGAAACTGCCGTGTACTCTCAGCATTGTGATGAATACAGTGCACTACTGTTAGCTACAGTGACTCTGCTGCTGTACCACAGGGTTCTAGAACTTACCCAGCCTGTAAGCTGAAAGTTTACAGCAGACGACCCACCTTCACCTCTACCGCCCAACCTCTGGTAGTCATATCCTACTCTCATCCTGTGTGTGACTGTATTCTACAATCCACATAGACCTGAAATTATATACAGTATTTCTGCAGCTGTGTTCTTTGGAGTAATCCATGCTGCTGCAAATGGCAATGCCTTTATCTTTCTTAAGGCTGAATAACATCACACTGCATAAACAATATATAAATTTCAATTTATAATGCTTCAACTTAAGTTTCTGTTTGTGATGTCGCAAAAGCAATATGAATGTAGTAGAAATGATACTTCAAATTTGGAATTTTTCTGCTTAAGTGATAATGTGGTAATGACAATTTCCAAATGTTTGGGCTTCAGACCCAAGTCTCAACTCCCAGGAAGCCACACAGAAATGAAAGAGAACAAATGACACTGTCCAGTATGTTTTATGGTATTTGATAAACTATACCCTATTAAAACCATCTCTGTGCTAGATGATTTTGCCCAACTGCCAGTGAATGTAAGTGGTCTAAATATGTCCGTGTACTTGCTACATTTGGCATATTAAATGCATTTTATTATGGTATTTTTAATTTACAATGAATGATCTGAATACAAATTCACAAGGTAAAGAGCATCCATATGTGCTGAACTACCTTGCCCAGTTGTCCAAAACCTAACGGTGGATTCGTTAGCTTTATTGCCACGAAGAACACCACACAAGCAAGGGCGTAGAGATGTCCATGCAGGTTCTAATTTCATTTCTGTGGGCCGTATGCCAAAGAGAGGGGCTGCTAGGTTTCATGGTGTTTCTATTTTTAATTTTTGAGATATATTCATGTCATTTTTCATTCATGGCTGGACTAATTTACACTCCCGCCAGCAGTGTATATAGATTCTCTGTCCACATCCTCGCCAACGCTTACTATCTTAGAATCATTTTTAGAATGGCCACTTTAACAGGTGCGCAGTTATATTTCACTGTGGTTTGATTTCCATTTCAAGAGTATTTTCATATATTAGCTATTAAGACTTTCTTTGGGAAATGTCGACTTGGGTGCTTTGGTCATTTGTTGCTTCATTTGTCTGGGGTGTTTTGTGGGAGTGTTTGATTTTACAGTTCATGTGTTCATGAATGCCTTTTCAAATGGACACTGTTGTATCAGTTGATTGTAACCCAGAGGCCCCGCAGCTCCCTCATCATGTTAGACCCCATCTTTGGAGACAGGAACTGAAAGCTGTCTGATCACTACGTTAGGGTGTTTCCACAGAGAGTCCTAGTCGTTGACAAATTGATGTGTCAGCTGCTTTTTGGTGCCAATTTCTCAACCATTTACAAAGTTTGCTCAGTCCTTCTAAATGAAGCAATGAGCTTGAGAATGATAACCATTTGTTACTGACAAGACAGAAAGAAAAAAACGAAAGAAGCAAGATAAACTTAGATAAAAAAGGTAAGAGAAAAAGCAAGCCTGACTGGCAGTTGAACAGTGAACCTTCACCTGTCAGTTAAGATGCAGGCAAGAAACTCAAAGGTCAGATGATTTGTTTCCTTTGACACTTAAAAAAAAAGAAAAGAAAAGAAAAGAAACTGTTATAACACAAAGGTAACTAGAAAATGTAAAAAGTAGGAGCTCCTCATATAAAAAATAATTCTGAGTCTTCTTTCTTTTAAAAAAATGTTTTTTTCAAGACAGGGTTTCTCTGTATAGCCTTGGCTGTCCTGGACTTGCTTTATAGGTCAGGCTGGCCTCGAACTCCCAGAGCTCCACCTGCCTCTGCCTTCCAAGTGCTAGGGTTACAGGCATGTGCCACCACACCCAGCTCAGATTTTATTTTAAGTCATGCTGCATATTTCTGTATTTTCACTTATCCTGCTTTTCCTTTGGTTGATCCGTTCAAGCATAGTTCAGACAAGGGAGATGACTGACCAGTCTTAGACTGGCTCATTTCCCAGAAGATATTTGTGTTTTACCCGATGTAGTAGACTTCTAAATATTGCTGTCAGCATCCCTTCTGTGATGTAACTGTCCATTCTTCACGGTGCTCAATAAGCATCTGTCAAACAGTCGCCCCTCATCTCTCCTTCACAGTGGGTTCTTGACCCAAGCTACACCAACACTGTCTAATACAGTGCATGTGTCCTGGGTAGGACATACCAGTTCTAGGTCTGCTTGTCCTCTAGTCCTTGTCTCTCCCTGCTCACTGTACTCTGTTGCAGAGGGCTGCCTGTGCTCCATAGACTCCTACTCCTGTCTCTTGGCTTTTTGCTGAGTGCACCCAATGTGAGCTGTGCTGGGAAGCTGTGGGGTAGAAGGAGATGGCAGCCAAGGGTCTCCTCTGCCCTTTCTTTCTAGTGGAAGCTGGTTGACTCCAACCCACACAACTGGGAAGAGATGTATTTCAGCTCCAGCTCATATGTTCATGTTTCATTTTTCATGTCTCTGCTTAAGAGAAGTGACATCTCCCTTTTCTTCTCTGTGGCTGTCTGCAGTGAATCTCATATTTTTTTCTGTGCCTTTTAAATGCCATAAAATAAATGTTCTGTCTTAGAGTCCCTCTAGTTTAAACACCTCTGCTTCATGCTGCAATTCTAAGAAGAATTATTTATTTATTACTTATACAGTGTTCTACCTGCATGCCAGAAGAAGCCATGAAATCGTACTATAAATGGTTATGAGCCACCATGTGGTTGCTGAGAATTTAACTTAAGACCTGTGGATGAACAGCCACTGTTCTAACCTCTGATCCATCTCTCCAGCCCCACTAAAAGAATTAAAGCCCAATAGTAATTGACTTGTAGTTTGCCAAAAGGAATGAAATCCCTCTCCTTGTTAGATCTTAAGGCTGTAGAGTTGGGGTTGCTGATTTATTAATCATGCTTGAGAAAAATGATAAAGAAACATGTGGAGACAGGAAATGGGGAAAGAATCCTGACACAATATTACTATTCTTTGTTCTAACTAGACTTGGAGTTAATGTTTCTGGCATTTACTTCATGTCTGAAGCTGGGCCACTTGAAAGTTTAAAATAGCTGTTTCTAATACAAGTAAGTCAGGATCATAAACAAAACCTGGTATTACCCCAGGCAAAATGCAACATAGGAATGCTATCTGAAGCCAACTTGGCGCTTGGACTTTACATTAATTAAGCCAGCAAATTCCTTTTAACCTTTAACCTAAATTTGAGTTAGATTTGTATTACCAAATGAGACTGCTGACTAACACCCATGTTAAAGGTTCAAACCAAAGGAATGATCTCCTACTGGTTGGAGTTCCTGTGAATTAGTCTCCATAATTGCATGCTGACCTTGCATGCCTAAAGGAACATTATAAGGAATTTTACTTGGTATACTACAAAGAGACTGAAAAAAGAAAGAAAGAAACAACTTTAGCCACTAAGAAAAACGGAAAGCGCATTCTCCTCTGGCTAAATATAGTTCTTTGATTATTTTCTTTCTCACATTACAGGACTTTACTTGAGGGATATTTTTATCTGATCAATTTTTGAGTCAATCACATGTAACCATTTTTCTCTTTGTCCAGGCCATATCTAGGTGTAGCTCTATAATACCACTTGGAGTACTGGCCTTTCAGAATTGTTTTTCTTCTGTACTTTCTTCTCTTTACTTTGCCTACTCTCCCGTAAGGTCTGATTTATACATTAGGTCAATTAAGCTGGTCTTGGCCTGCCTAGGAACATAATTGTCATTTGCAAATCTGTGAGAATGCACATTCTTTGAGAAATGGTGAGAAGGATTTGTATTTAAGAGCCCTGTATGAGTCTTCTTCCAGAAGACTCAGGTTCAATTCCTAGCCCCTGCATGTCTGCTCACAACTGTAACTCCAGTCCCAGGGAATCTGACCCCTCTTCTGGCCTCCACAGGCACTGTATTCACATGGTACATAGATATACATGCAGGTTAAAAAAAACAGAAACACATTTAAAAAGTTAAATGAAAGTGAGGAAAAAATGCAGTCTATAGGGAATGATGAGAGAAGGCTATGCCAAGCCCGCATGAAATCTGTACACTCACAGCAGAAGCCTGGTTTATGACAAAACAAAAAGCAAAAATTCAAAGATCATATCTCCTAAGTTCCACTCCAATGGAAGCCATTCATAATTCAGGGTTTGGAGCTCTATGAATATCTATCAGCTCCTATAAGCCGTGTATGTGATTGTGACTACATTTTTTTCATTTTGGGTCCCAAGAATCATTAATAATATATGTATATCAACTAAAAGGTGTGTGTGTGCAGTAAACAACTAGATACTTAGCAATCTACTAAGCTGTCTATCTATCTTTACAGTGCTGATTATTCTAGTCACAAAACACTTTAAACAAACAACAAAAAATGTTTTTCCTAGAGGTGAAACTGGTTGCCAAATTCATCATTGGCAAGAGTATAATGCAAAGAACTCCCTGTACTTATCAGGAGTCATTTTGTTTTAGAAGGTAATTTTTTTCTCATTGTAAAATAATTTGTTGTAAGTTCTATGTGACTGTCAAAAGTGTGTCATGCAGACTTAATGACATAACAATAGTTTAAATGCTGTGTGTGATAGCCTTGTGAAAACTACAAAAAACTACCAAATCCATTATCCCTGTGATAAAAAAAAATAGCAAGTTTTAATGTATACTCTAAGAGTAGTAGAGAATAACAGAAGCAGATACAGCTCAGGAGTTGAGTAGAATAGACCATCACAGGTAACAGTCTTGTTAGGCACTTGACATTGTTTGGTCACTTTCAAGAGATTGATGTTTCCTCAGTCATGACAGATGGCTCCAGTAGCCTAAATCGTTCATGTAGGGGTGGGATGGACCTAAGCATGTTGTACATCCTTACACGCAGTCTCAGCAGTGATGCTGACGGCACGGGCTTCGCTCTGTCAAAGGATGATGACAGTGACTTCAATACTTTGGAAGCTTCACTCTGGAATACTTTTGTTCGAACAGTGTAGAGAATGAATATTTGAAATCCCTAAAAATAGAATTAAAGTGTAATATTAGGCAACATTACAGTACAGAAGGAAAAGATTTCATCTGACCCTCCAATGGTGAGGTGGCATAGCTGCTGCACAACAGGAGTTTGCCGCTGCTGTGCATGTGCAATGCTTTGTCATGCACACAGTGCTGCACATAATTCAGAGCCAGCAGACCAGACTTCATGCCCTGGCTTGCTGTTACTGCTGTGCAACCTCGCTCTTTCCCTATGAAGGTGGAAGGGTATTCTGGGAGCAGGAGGGATACCCATTTCTTTTTCTAGTTCCAACATTCTGTGATTCCATTTCCTGGAGACCTAGTAATGTAGCTAGAATTTTGTAGACTTGATAATTTCTTAACAATGCAAATTTAAAACTCTGCTAATCATTGCTTTTCTGTGCTTTGCATATGGATAATAAGATGTTCATAAAAAATTTAAGCTACCCTGGGTAGTATTTTCTACATGTTTTTAAACTGACATTTACCAAAGACCTATTGGCTTCATACCCTTCTCGTTGACTCATCATCATTTGATCCTTTCAATTTAATTCTTACATCAACACCAATTTATGAATATGGAAACTGAAACTCAGATGATTTAAACAATTTGCTCAAGATTACCCATCCGCTATCAGTAGAGCTTGGAGCTGAATTACCACATTTTGGGCTTTAATCTTTCTTTCTTATCCAATATATGATGTTGCTTCTTACTAGTAACTATAACAGAAATGCACCACCCATTATATTATAGTCTCTAAGAAGCCTTTCTTAACTCTTCATTTAAATTATTTATGAAAACAAACTATTAAATTCTATTTGTAGCCTGGCTAATAATATTGTATCGATGTGATTCCTCGACATTTGACAATGTGCTATATTATAGAAGACACTGTCACTGGGGAACACTGGTCAAAGAATATATGAAAACTGTATTGTTTTTCCTAGGTTTGATTGTGCATTGTGGTTATAGAAGATATTATTTTTGGACTAGAAAGATGGCTAAGTGGTTAACAACATTCACTTTCCAGGGGACCTGGGTTTCATTTCCAATACCCACATCATTGCTCACAACCATCTATAACTCTAGTTTTAGAGGATTTAACACCCTCTTCTGGCCTTCATGGACACCAGGCATGCACTTGCTGAACACATGTGTAGGCAAAACACTTATAAGATAAATTTTTAACAATTCCAAAGATGCTATTTATAGTATTTTGTAACTTCAAATAGTCTAAAATGCATTCAAAATTATTGTTTAAAGGGGGTAGAATAACAATGAGGTAAGTTAATTTTGCATTATCTCGGACTTTTTTCTGTAGCATGAGATTTTAGTAACTGTAGAGTTCCAGTGAGAAAAAGAGATCATCATAATTAGATGTCAAACACATTTGCAGTTCATGTGCTGCATCTAAATACAATGGTCAGCGAGGAAGTTCTTCAGTTTTGCTTATTCACAATCTACAAGAGGTTACTAAAAAAAATAATAATAATATGAGCTATTAATTAAGACAAAAAAGTCAAAGTAATAGGACAATCCAATAAGATACCTTGAAAACTTCTAAAATGGAGAGTTATATGTAATACAATTTAGTTAACACAAATATCAAATAGAATTTAAGTAATTAATATTTTCTAGGAGAAAATATTGTGGACACTATCAACAATATTTTTAATTAATTAATTTATTTTTATAAATTACAGTTTATTCACTTTGTATCCCCGCTGTAGCCCACTCCCTCAGCCCCTCCTAATCCAACCCTCTCTCCCTCATCTCCTCCCATGCCCCTCCCCAAGTCCACTGATAGGGGAGGTCCTCCTCTCCTTCCCTCTGACCCTAGCCTATCAGGTCTCATCAGGACTGGTTGCATTGTCTTCCTCTGTGGCCTGGTATGGCTGCTGCTCCCCTAACAGGGGAAGGTAATCAAAGAGCCATCCACTGAGTTCATGTCAACAATATTTAATAGTAAATTTTAAATTGTACCAATAAAGTTAGGAGGCAATGAACAATTGCACAATGTTAATAGTATTCTTTCTCTCGGGCTATGACTCATCAGTAACTGTTTGCCTAACAAGTGAGAGGCCTTGGGTCAGATTTGCAACTTTAAAAAAAAAAATGTGTTCTCACACAGATTACTTTTAGAGGAGGCAGGGATCAGCAATAGTGTTTTACTATGGAAACTGCAAGTTGGATCTCATAGTAGTCATTAATAAACAAGGATTATAATTAATAGAGTTTAAAAATATAATAAAAGCATTCAAAATAATTACAGAAAATTACATGTGCAAGGTGATGTTATGTGACATGATATATAAAAGTGAGGAGATGTTGGTAGATGCATGTGACAAAATATTACAGAATAAGAGGAAATATATATGTAATAACACCTTAAAAAGAGACAGTCTTAGTTTTAGTCCAAATTAATTGTTCACTGGGCCAGTCCTTGTTAGGAATATGACAAAATGTAGATGTGTTCCACCTTACTGTACTATTTATAATGTGAAAGAAACAATCAAATTTACTACAAAGAAAACAATAAAACATGACCCATTCTAAGGAAAGGCAGCAATGAATAGAAAGTGGCTGAAATGTTAGATTTAACAGAATATCTTTGGAGATGCTGTAATGTACTTTAGACTGTTGCACAAATGCACTTATAATGAGGAAAGAGGAAATATCAACACAATATAAAAAATAAACTAGGTAAAAGTTCTTAAACTGAGTAAGTATAGCACCTGAAACAAAGGGAACTATACAAACCTAAAAACGGAATAGAGGCAGCAACAGAAAAATGGTTAATTTTGAAAATAAGTACCTAAAGTCTTCTAGTGTAATGACTAGCAAGAAGAATGAATAAAACAAACAGCTCTGTGTGATCTGTGGAACAGTATCGCATCAGCTAACATCAAGGCAACTGGAGTCTCAGAAGGTAGAGATAGGAGCAGAGCAGGAAAAAATAATAGTGAAAAGTATAAAAGATTCTAACAGTTCAGCAAACCCCCCCCCCATATATGCAAAGAAAGTAACAGTTGTGTATGCCATAGTCGAATTACTGAATGTTAAAGCCAGGAAAAAAGCCTGATGTAAGCAGAGAAAAATAACAAATTTGTGTGCAGTAGAACAGTATAAATGACTGAGGACATCTTATTAGGAAATGTACAGTGTGTAAAATTACTTCTCTAAAATGCTAAAATGTTTTTTTTAAAAAAGCCTCAGTCAACCCTGAGTTCCACATCCAATGAAAAAAAATCCTTTAAGATGCACACAGTATATACTCACTCATATAGACATATAATATAGGATAAACCTACTAAAATCTGTACACCTAAAGAAACTAATCAAGAGGGAGACTCTTGCTAAAATGCTCGATTCCTATCCAGATAGGCAAAAAGGCTGGACATCAGAAGAAGGAGAAAAGAGGGAACAAGTTAGGAGCCTGACACAGAGGGCCTCTGAAAATCTCTGCCCTGCAGACTATCAATGTAGATACTGAGACTTATGGGCAACCTTTGGGCAGAGTGCAGGGAATCTTAGGAAAGAAGTGGGAAATAGTAAAATCTGAAGAAGACAGGAACTCCATAAAGAGAGCAATAGAATCAAAAAATCTGAGCACAGGGGTCTTTCCTGAGACTGATACTCCAACCAAGGACTATGCATGGAGATAACCTAAGACCCCTGCACAGATGTAGCCCATGGAAGTTCAGTATCCAAGTGGATTCCATTGTAATAGGAACAGGGACTGTCTCTGACATGAACTGATTGGCCTGCTCTTTAATTACCTCCCCCTGAGGAGGAAGCAGCATTACCAGGCCACAGAAGACAATGCAGTCACTCCTGATGAGACCTAATTGACTAGGATCAGAAGGAAGGAGAAGTCCTCCCCTATCAGTGGACTTGGGGAGGGACATGCATGCAGAGGGTGGAGGAAGGGAGGGATTGGGACGGGAGGAAGGAGGGAACCATGGGGGGGTGTGTGAATACAAAGTGAGTAAAGTGTAATTAATAAAGAAAAATTTAAAAAAAAGAAAAAAAACAAAAAAATTAAAGAATAAAAATTTTTTTAAACAAAAAAAAAGAGTGAGAACAAAATAGATTTTATTTATTTATTTATTTAAAGGAAAATACTTGCTGACCAAGTCATCAATTACAAGAAACAGTGGGGGATGACTTTAGGCTGAAGGGAAATGACACTATATGACATTTAGGTCTTCAGAAAAAAAAAAAAAAAAAAAAAGGAAGGGCCGTGGAAATGGTTGACACATGGCCAAATACAATGTTTTTCCTCAAAATTCCTTAAAACGTATATGTCTATTTAAGGAAAATAGTAATAATGTTGCTTTGTGAGGTTTGTTATGTATGTGCATGTAAAAAAAGAAGATGGCAGCATAAGGGATGAGGGTATAGGAAGCAGACTTCTATTGTTATGAAGTCTTAGATTTTATGGGTGTTGTAAAATACTAACTTTAAGTTCCTTAGAAGGTTGTGAATGCATATTACATTCATGAACTAATCCCAATGCAAAATGGTATTGATTATTGGAATGTAAATTAACATGGAGTCATAATGATAATAAATGTATTGTACTCAAAAGTGGGGAGGAAAAGGACATCAAGGAATAACAATGAATGACCACGGAAGACAAATCATAAAATGACAACCTACATCAATGAGTACATTAGATCCAAATGAGCTATACCCTCTGATACAGTGATAGAGACTGTCACAATAGACAAAAAAGGTGAGGCCTGTGTATTTGATGCCTACATCATATAGACTTTAAAGGTACAGAGGTTCATAGTAAATGCATACACATGCATACACATTCATGCATGCAGACCGACGTGATCATACAGCAAGACTAGGTAATACATAAGGTATACCTTATAACAAAAGGCACTATCAGAAATAAAAAGACATTTTAATGTAAGTGATGAAAGGGCTAATTCATCTAGAAAATATAATAATCATAAATACATATATATATAATGAGAATGAATGTTTTTTCTTCACTCAAAATACACGAAGCCAAAACTGACAAAATGGAAAACAAGGGAACAAATAGACTCAGTCCTTAATGGAAATTTTTAGCACTTTTCACTAGGCAGTTGAAAGAGCCAGATGAAAATGCTCGTAAGGACAGAAAATTCCCAATTGAGCTAGGAATCTTTAACTTGAATGGTATTTTAAAACTTCACACCTAGCAACAACAGAATAAATGAATCCCCCCGTAAGGTAAATACTTTTCTTCTGACCCCATGAGATATCTCAGAGGGTAAGATGCCTGCCACCAGGTTTGAAGATCTAAGCTCTGTCCCCAAGACCCACATGGTGGAAGGAGAGAACCAACTTTCGTAAATTGTCCTCCAACCTCTGACATATATCACATGGCATACATTCCACTATGCTACTAATAATAGATGTAATTAAAATTTCATAGACGATAACTTAGCTGGACCTAAATCCAAACTTAACACATTTTTATGAGACCTGATAGGCTATGGTCAGATGGAAGGGGAGGAGGACCTCCCCTATCAGTGGACTGGGGGAGGAGCATGGTAGGAGAAGAGGGAGGGAGGGTGAGGTTGGGAGGGGAATAGGGAGGGGGCTACAGCTACAGCTACAGCTGGGATACAAAGTGAATAAATTGTAATAAATAAAAAACTAAAAAAAAAAAATTGAAAGACAAATTCAGCAAACCCACAGAGTTCCAATTTCAAGGAATAATGACAATTGCCCATTCCAAGTAAAGAAAATTCATTGCATGGGTAAAAGGAAAGGAAGGATCCTACCTGGTGAAGTATCTTTTACTCAGAGGAGGAAGAATTATGTGCCAAACCTATGGAGATCTTTCTGTGTGACCTCCAAGCCAGAAAAGAACACAGAAAGCTTTAGTTCTTCTCATGGAGTCTATTAAAATATCGCCTACAGGTAACTAAACAGTGGTCTCCAGAGGGTTTTACAGGAAGGAAACATTGGTCCAGGGTGATACTATCTACCTTGTCACGTGTTGTGCTTCTTTCAGACCATCTGTACCATACCTGAGTGGTGTTGAAAAGACAGAATATGTAGCTGAAAACAATCCTGATGTCGTCATTATTAATCAGCATAGCATATGCTAAAATCCAAGTAACTCCAAAAACAACGGCAATAGATAATGTGCTAAGAATCTTCTTTAGGGTTGACACCTTTCTTGTGCTACATGAGAGAAAATAAGAAGGAAAATAGGGCTTATTAGGCTTTTGCTTAGTAATGTCATCACTGCCCGTATTTAGCTTGCATGTTCAGCTGCCCATATACTTTGCTAAGTTAAAGTTGTGCCATACCTAATGATCCTCTGATGAAAATGTGATTTCACTGTTTTTAAATATCCTAATACTTACTGCAAAGCTCATGCAAATCATTCCTTTAATACTACACAGGAAATGTCATGAGGAGTGATTTTTTTTTTTAGAATGGGATATTGATTATTACTGATTATTACTAAAGTATCAGCTCGTGAAGAATTCCATTTTGTAGGGCAGTTGGGATACCTGGGTACTTTTTGTGTCTGGGGTGATATGAAAATAAGATTACTTAGAAGCAGACTGATCCTCTCTCTTATGGAAGTCTGTATCCCCCACCCCTAGAAGCTGGTCTTGACTATGCAACTTCCAATATCGAGGAGAGCAAGCCAGAGACTGGAAAGCAATTTATCTTGGAATTTGCCTTTTCTTACTGCTCTTGAGAATCCTGATAGTATTAGTGACTGAGTGAGACAGGCCTCTTCATGACTAGACTCCCATGTTAGCATACTCTCAAAAAATACCCTTCATGGAGAGGAGGACCTCCCCTAGCAGTGGACTAGGGGAGGGGCATAGGAGGGGAAGAGGAAGGGAGATTGGGATTGGGAGGAGATGAGGGAGGGGAACACAGCCAGGACACAAATTGAATAAATTGTAATAAATGCTAATAAAAAGTACCCTTCATTTTCAGCAAAAACTTTGTAGTGCAAAATGAATATGTTCAGAGGTATTTCTGTCCATCATTTTAATCTTTTATATGTGTGCTCTGAGACATTGAGCTAACTCTACCCAAAACATGTGTCTACTATATTTTCAAATTATGGGCCTCCTTATGAATTGACACATCCCCAATGTAAATATGAATACCCACCCCTGAATAAATTCACCATGTTTCATTCTTTCAGGAAAATTGGGACTTATTTTCTTGCTTTCTTTCTGGTCGTACTTTTCCCCCTCTACTTTATATCTTAATCATGGTTATTTTTCACTCTGCACTCACCAAAATGTAAACTCCTTGTGTTAGTTTACAATGGTAATATATTAAGAAGTCTGAGCTGAAGTAAGTCTAAGTTCTTAAGTTTTGAAGTGACTCAGTCTGTATGTAGAGAATTAGCTAAAAAATTATCTATCCTTTTCATTGTTATCAGGCCAATTACAAAACATGGGTTGTCAGCCGTTCAAAATTGAGAAACACAAATTTTTTTGGTGTCTTTTGACCCAAAATTATGATTTGTAAATGGGAAATATAATCCAATATAGAACAGGCTAAGAACCCATCACCAAAGTCTTCCCCTCTGCCAATATTACTAAACCGCACATTGTTTTACTGCCTAACAAGAATGGTGTTTTCCCCAATATAGCCTTTAAATAAGAGCAAGTAACCATGTATGAAATGTGATACTTTGATTTGTAAAGCACATAGTTGAGACTATATTCTCCTCAAAGACGGTGGTTTTCACTTGTCTAACCTCACTAAGCAGATCCCCTCATGGACTGGGTGTGAGTGTACAAATGTCCTTATGGGAAGGACACACAGAATGGCACAGGCTTGCAGAATTCAGCCTGAGCTCCTAACCTTATCTCTACTACGTTCTGTCCAATTCATGCTATGAACTCGGGGTAGGAGGTTGCAGCATGTCTGTGTTCAGAGCTTTCTGATCTTTATCAGACTTGTAGCTCTTGTTGGATAGTAGAGATAACAATAAGAACACCTACAGGCATCAAAAGAGTTACGGTCAGGAGACACACAGTTGGGTGGGACCTGGTAAGCCAGAGAATGTGGTCACAGTGCCACTAAAGGTTCTATGTTTTACAAGAGTGAATCCATTTGTAAGTGAAATCTCCAAATTTTATATACTTAAAAAGAATTTTGAAAGGTTTGAGGCTACTGTGTAATTCAAATACTATAGATAATAATTTGAAAACGTGGATGCCAGCGCCCGTACTTCTTCAAGTATCCAAATTTTTTGTTTCCTGAATTTGGTGGATTTTTAAAGAGAAAATATTTTTTTTTAAACTGTAGAGTTCCTTTTTTACTTGGGCCAATGTGACACAGAAGTATGTTATATAATGCTGTGTACTATATTGGACTACCGAGGTTAGAAGAGAAGGAGAAGAAATCCAGGTTTTCAGACAGAGTTCATTGGGATATCTCTCCTGTATACCCACATGCCCTGCCTTGTTCAGGTGTTGAAAACTTCTGCAGGTGTTGGCGTGTACTGAGGTGCTGGGTTGCATAAGCACTTGTCTCTGCTGGCAGCATCCCACTAAGAGTCTTACCTTTTCAGGTTATGGTTGCTCTTCCACAGCACTTTGACTGTGATTACGACAAATATAGCAATATTGATGATGAGGATAATGGTGACAGGGATGATGAACGACCACAAAAATGGACTTTTTATAAAATTACTGCTCTTTGGAATGGCTAGCCAGCAGCTGTGGAGGAAAACAAATTGTTTCAGCAGATCGAGAAAAGAACAAATACCAATTCCTTTTCTTATTAACATTATTGTCATTCATGCAAATGAAGTCCTTTCTAATAATATCCCTTAGCATCTTATACATCTGAAGTCACTTTTAATAATTCAGCTCATCAGAAAAGTTGGTCCTGCCATAATTTCCTAGGAGTCATTGTCGGCCAGTAGAAGGGAAATATGCTTTTGAGTCAGACACACATGAATTACTTATTAGTATTGTGGGGAGAAGAAACTCAGGAATTGGAGCATGCTAAGTAATAGTTCCATTACTGAGTTATGCCCTCTTGTGAATTGAGTGAGAAATGTTCCCCAGAGGCTCATGCATCGATCACCTGGTTTCCAGGTGGTGGCACTGTTTGGGAAAGCCATGGAACCTTTCGGAGGTAGAGCCTTGCAGAAGGAAGTACATCACTAGAGGTGGCTTAAAGGCTTTATACTTCATACTTCACTACATAGGTTATGCTTTATACTTTAAGGTTCTACTTTCTGTCCTCTCTCAACTTTCTGTGTGTAGACAGAAAGCCATAGCTCTGCTTTGTGACTTTCAGGGTGGCCTCATGCTCCCACTGTAATGTCTTCTCAGCCAGGAAAGACTGTTTCCCTGTACAGTATTAAGCACAATAAACCTTTCTTCCCTAAGCTGCTATTTGTAAGGGTGTTCTATCACCGAAACAGAAAGGTAACTGATACATGTACTCCTAAGGCCACAGTCTTGAATTTAGATGTTACTTTCTGCTGTTTATGAGGTGCCTAACTTTAGGCAAGCTATTATTTTTATTCAGCTTTTGGATATGTAGCTTATCTTGGCCTAAAATACAAAAGGAAAAAATGGCTATAGAAGGACAATATTTCTAGCTCCAAATTTCATCAATGTTTCTGATGTACCCTTAGAGATTAAGGCTGCATAAACATTAGCAAATACACATTTTCCCTTCATTTTTTTTTAAACAAATGTTTCTAGAACTCAGCATATCTTGGATATCATTGGAGAATAGAAAAAGAACCTTCGTTAATTACTTTAACATTGTACTTTTTGCTCTATTACTTTAATATTCTGTAACTTAAACAGTTTCCTATCGATAGTCATTTCATTGTGTGTGTTTGTATGTGTACATAAATGTTTGTGTATGAATGTGCACTTATGTGTATAGGTACATAACTATGAGTGTTTTCTGACATAGTGTCTATTCCTTGGCTGGAAGTTGACTGAAACAGGCAGGTTGGTCAATGAGCCTTAGGGATCTGCCTTCCCAGAGATGGTGGTGGCAGTGTGTGCTGCCACATCTGCCTTTTTATCCAGGTGCTTGGGACCTGTACTCAGGTCCTCTTGCTTACATGGCAAACATTTTCCAACTAAAATGCCTTGTCAGCCTCTTGATAGCCATTTAAAAATGCCAATGATTATAAAGAGTTTTCAAAAGTTATTTAACTTCATTGTACTTTTTTGTTTTGTTGATTGTTGCTATTTTTGTTTTGGTGAAGGAAGTTTGGGTGTGTTTTATGTTTTTCCTTTCTCATCAAAATTGAAAATGAGGTAACCACCTCATAGTATTATTGAAATAATGTATTCATTTAAAAACATTTAAAGAGAGCATGCTAGGTGCCAGATGGTATTTTAGACACCAAGAAATGAGCAGTAATGAAAACTCTTCACCGGGCAGTGGTAGCACACACCTTTAATCCCAACATTCAGGTAGGCAGAGGCAGGTGGAGGGATCCCCTGTGAGTTTGAGGCCAGTTTGGTCTGCAGAACTGTGTTCCAGGACAGCCAAGGCTACACAGAGAAACCCTGTCTCCAGAAAACATTCCATTGCATTACATTCAAAGACCCTGAGGTAACAGCTTTAGAAACAGAGGCTAATGTGGCTCAGCATGAGGAAATGCATGAGGTTTGTGGATTGATGCAAACTACTGTGGGCTTTGTGAGCAATTGCTTGCATTCTGGATGAGATGGAGAAACATAAAATGATCTGCTTTAGGTTTAAAAAGTATTACTCCACATGCAGTAATGGGAGCAGGACCTGAGCAAAGGAACAAGCAGTCTAGGAGTATATTGTATTGTGAGGGCCATGCAGAAGGAGGGATGTGAAGAGGCAGTCTGGTTGAAGATTATTGAAAAGAAAGAGAAAGGCCAGAATGCTGGCACACACTTGCACACTCAGCACATGGGACAGAGAGGGGGCAAGACCAGGAGTTCAAGAACATCCTTGGATACTTTACAAGTTCAGAGTCAGGGGATCCTACCTAGAAAAAAATAAGGAGAAAAATTTAGTGATAATATAACTGTTAAGTAGAGAATTCAGGGTAATTGATATTTCCCGAGTAGTTTTCAGACAAAGACAAAGAAATATTAGCAGACAGAACAGCATACCATTTAAAAAAAAAAAGTAAGGACTGGAGAGGTGGCTCAGGAGTTGACTACTGCTGGTCTTACAAAAATCGGGGGTTTGGCGCTCAGCAACCACACTATGTCGCTTACAACCTCCTGTGACTCCAGCTCCAAGGAATCCAACACATTCTTGGGCCGCTACATGTACCTGCACATGATAATGGCCTGGTGTCTGCAATACTGTCTGGTGTATACACACAGGCAAACATATACATTGATTTAAAAAAAAATCATTAAAAAAATAACCAGAGACAGTTAGAGGAGGGTCTCGTGTTTTCAGATGCTGATTTCAGTGCCCTGGAATCTGGTTACTGCCCTGCCACAGGCATTGTTATGAATGTTGAACCATCTCCTGTATCCATGTTCCCAAATTATCCCTTATTGGTCAATAAAGATGCTGAAGCCTGTGACTGGGCAGAAGAGAAGTAGGTGGAGTTTGCCTTCCCGGGCTTGGAGTCAGGAGATCACAAGGCAGGGGGAGAGAGATAACTCGGGGTGACTAAACTTAGGCAAACTGGTTTCTCTCTCAGAAAAGCTCTATCTATGCCTGGGATAGAAATTAATAGAAAAATCAACGGCAAGAAAGTAATGATGGGATGAAAATAAATTTACCTCTCCCAGGAGATATTTACATCTCCTATTTCTAATTGTGAGATTTAAGTTTTAAATCTGAAAATGATATTGAAACCTGATGAGACAAAAGTCTACGAAGTGAACTCCAGCCAGGCTGTCAGCCCTTCCTCACAAAATCAGGTGAGTCCCTTGACAGCATAGTTTTTTCTGGGAGGTTCTAGTACCATTATGATAGTATGATTTTCAGGTGAGTTGGCTTAATTCTTAAACTGGAATTTGGAGAAAAGAATGGCAGTGTGATACAAGAGAAGGAAAGAAAAACTACAGGGCAGCTGCTGTCTGGTGGGAGAAATACAAAGCATGGAGCTTTCAGCTCAGCTCAGCTCAGTTCACCTTTCTTCTCCCTGCATAAAAACCAAACACTATACAGTCAGGTACTTCTAATACAGTTAATTATTCATGCTGCTGACCAAGCAAGAATTTGTGGTACATGATCCATTACCATGAAATAGTTACTAAAATTGTGTTTAACGTGATGAGCATCTGAGTGAGAAATGGCGAGTGCTTAGTGAGTTATTAAATGTTTTCAACATTGCTTGACACCCCTACATGGCAAGCCTTGAGCAAAATCACTATACCTGCTATCCACACTCTAGAGGAAAGAACCAAGACACAGGGTTACTAAGGACTATAACAATTATGCTGCATGATTTTTTTTACTAACTAAAAGAATGTAATTTTAATATGATAAATTTCAGATTTATTTGGACAAATATGGGATACTTCGTTTTTAGGAAATTTGTGTCATTGTATCTAAAATATAATGTATTTCTGAGATTTTTTTAAAATACCCATTGCAAAATATGACATTAATAAAATGAAAGTTGGAGATATTTGGAGCCAATATAAATGAATACATATACTTTTATGTCAAAGAAGTTTAAAGGGACAAAAACTTACATTTCCTCTTGCCGATAGTCTAACTCCCAGTATGACTTGTTCCCACTCTGGGCATAAATAATCCCTATTGTTACACCCACTACTATCGCTGGAACTCCTAAGTGATAAAGAGAGGCAAGGAGTTAATTCTTGATGCAAGGTGGAAATTAATAATAAAAGACTTCCAGTAAATTATACATCTGATGTTTTCTTTTTTCTTTTGGACAATATACTGACCCATGAGAGGAATAGATTAAGAGTAGACAGAATTATTTTCTGTTCTCTTTATTTTTAATGTTGTCTCTAAATAGCAATCCTGTCTGACTTCTCATTCCTTTGTATCTCCGCTAACAACAGTTATTTCCAAATGTCCTAATTACTCTTTTACTTGAACAATTTAAATGTGAATAGCCCTGAGACAGTCCTTCCTTTTGTCTTTGCCAGAACACAATATAAGTTTCAAGAATTTTTTCTTAACAAGTCACACTGATTAATTTCCTTGAAACACTTCTGCTAAAGTAGCTAGGAGATTAACTGCGTATGTTCTAAATCCAGCGGACACTAATAAAGGGCTATTTTAAGCATTGACCTTTTTAATTTAGCTTATGTCCAGTGCAGTTGTGTTGATTCCTCACTGGAGAATACACCACTAGACATAAAGAGTTCTTACTGATTATTCTATTTTCTTTTCCCCTACCCCAAATTAGTAGCCCTCCAAAGGGTATTTGTTTACATTGAACACAATTGCAATAAAGTGACATTTCTAAATAAGTGTTGCTTCGAACCCTTACCCCATCCAACTAATGAAATGACAACAATGAAATGTGGAGGAAGAGGCTTCATAGTTCTAATCAGGAGGAAGTAGAGCTGTGTAGCACTGAGTCCATTCCAGGTGAATGTCACCAGCAGAAAATAGTGGAGTAGGGCAGCAATGGCTGTGCATGAGGGATTCGGGGTGTCAATGGTGTCTCTTACAGGTATCTTGTTATCAGCAGGGTTACTGTTGATGTTACTATCCCTTTCCTTTAAGTTTTTATTAGAGTTTTCAATTCCAAACACAAAGAGGAGGTTAAAAATCAACATCGATGTACACAAACTGACCAACACCCAGGTTACGGAGGTTTTTCTGACTTTCCTAAAAATAAAAAAAATTAAAAGTAAATATGAAGAACCAAGTGAAAGCAAAGCAACTGAAACAATGACAACAACAACAACAACAGCAACAACAAAATATCCTTAGGGCTGAACAGATGGCTTATTGCAGGGGACTCAGGTTCAGGTCCCAGCATTCACATGATGTTTCACAACTCTGTGACTCCAGTTCCAGGGGAATCAGACACCTTCTTCTGCGCTCTGTAGGCACTGCATGCATGTGGTGCACTTGTGTACATGCAGGCAAAATATTCATACATACCAAACAAACAAACCTAAACGATCCCCAGAGGAACTATGAGGAAACAAATGAATGTAATTGTTCAATGTAAATCCAGTTCATGGTACAGTGGGTCTGCTGATAACTCTTTCTCTCATTTACATCAGAGAAGAAAGTTCTGCTTAATTTCTACAAAGCAGTGAATTTAGCAAAGAGGTTGAGGCATCATTGCATTCTAATTAAGAAGAATTGGTAGCTTTTCTCCGAAGCCAGTGCCAGGGATTCACAATCCCTACTATTTATTGCCTATATACTCCCTCCCCAGGTCTGTCCTTGCCTTGATTTAACTAACGGAACATCAACAGAAAGCTGGTAGCCAAGACTAACATCCATTGGATATAATAATGCTTGAGACCCCCAAACTTTCGTGACTCTTAACATGTTCTGATAAAGAAACCACACAAAAATATTCTGGGTCTATGGACATAAAAAAGATACAGGTGTTCTGATCTCTCTCAGTCCTTGGATTTTTACACTAACAGAATACAACTTATTTGTTACAATGAGATTTTCTTGATCATTCAAGCTTTTACACCTTTTGAGATGTTTAATAATAATAATTCAAAATGTCTTCAAAGAAATTGTATTTAAGAGTATCATGAGGGGCTGGTGTGACGACTCAGTGGGTACAGGCTCTTCCGTAAAGCTGCATAACCTGTCTTGTCCACATGGGGGAGGGGAACATGACTCCCACATGCTGTTCTCTGACCTCCACACACAAGCGGTGGTTCCCTCTCAAAAATACATTTTGAAAATGTGATAAAAAGGAGCTGGAGTAATATGATCAATCCTCACTTAGAAAGACAAATGGGAGGTGCATTGGACGTAGGAGAAAACAAGTAACAGGACAGGAGCCTACTGCAGAGGGCCCCTGAAAGATGTTACCTAGCAGCGTATAAAAGTAGAGACTAAGACTCATAACCAAAACCTTTGGCAGAGTGCAGGGAATCATATGAAAGAAGGGGGAGTTAGTATGATGTGAAAAGGATAGGAGCTCCACAAGGACCAAATATATCTGGGCATAGGGTTTTTTTTGAGACTGACGCTCCACCAAGGACCATGTATGGATATAACCTAGAACCTTTGCTCGGATGAAGCCCATGGTAGCTCAGTAATCAATTGGTTTCCCATAGAAAGGGGAACAGAGACTATTTCTGACATGAACTCAATGGCAGGCTTTTTGACCTCCCCATCCCTCAAGGGAGGAGCAGTCCTGCTAGGCCACAGAGGAAGACTTTGCAGCTAGTCCTGAAGATACCTGATAAAACAGGGTCAGATGAAAGGGGAGGAGGTTCTCCCCAATCAGTGTACTTGGAAAGGGGCAGAGAGGAGATAAGGGAGAGAGGGAGGGTTTGGGAGGGAATGAGGGAGGGGATACAGCTGGGATACAGAGTTAATGAAATGTAACTAATAATAAAAAAATAAAAGTTACTTTAAAAAAAAGTAACAGTAGTTATGACTGCTGTCTAACTTTGAACATAAATTATGACCTACATGGAAAACAAATTTTGAAGTAGCCTAACCCTTTTTTATAGAAACATATTCTCTGTGTTATGATTTTGTGGTGATTTATCCAAGAATAAAGAAAAATATTTCTTTTAAGATTTGAAATATCAACAAAATGCCTGAATTATTTTGTTAGATTATATATTCTCGTGAATTTTAGTGGCCTATATGATTGCCAAATTGGGGTAGAAAATTTATTAACAAAAGAAAAATATCTAAAATCAAATGGACAGGATAAGATATTAGGTGAAAAAACTTAGTTACAATAACTACAAATCATCCATATTGAACTGAGTAAGTATTGGTACAACTATAGTGTTAAAAGGAATTTGCAAATGAGGGATAAATATGAAAAACATTTATTTTTTTTCTGACAAGCTAGTAATTACATATACTTTTACTTCAATACCCATGTCACAATCAGTAACTATATATTTCACTTTACACATATTTGTATAATGGCTTGTTTACTCCTTGAGAATGTAAATTCTTGTTTTGCTTATAGTTTACTATTTAGCTTCTGGCTTGGTGCTTGGCAATAGGAAGCAGTCAGTCAGAAATATCAGTGAATCAATAAAAAGACATTTAGTGTGAAAGGTGAAGGAAAAAGGAATTCAACTCTGGAAAACTTACAAGTTTAGGGATGGAGCAGAGAAACTGAAAGGTGAGCCCAGTCATTGTTGCGCTCAAAATGAGAAAGTGCTTAAAGTCCAAAGGAAACATGGCAAATTGGCATAAGGAGCTCACTGTGACTTTTATTAATGCATAGGCAAGAAAGAAGGAAACATAAATGAGTATAAAATCATCAATGCAGTCATGTTCTGATAAGGATCCCTTTGGATCTCACAAGAATCACTCTGTGAGAGATAGTTGAAAAACAGAAGGTTATCATATACTCTCAGATTCAGTGTATGAACTACCTCTTATTTACACATGAGAAAATGAACTGGCATAGTATAGAAATATCATAGTTACCTCTTTAAATAGCACTTCGCTTACAACCATGTACAGCAGGACTCTTACCATGTTCTCGTGGTGTCACAATGAGGAAGAGTCAATGACATATAGTTTCTCTAAAAATCTGTAACCTGAATCTAACCATGAGGAAAATGCAAAACAAATCCTTAATTGAAGAGCAGTTATCAAAACAGCTGGCCTGGATGTTAGTGTTATAAATGACCAAAACAAACAAAAAAGAGAACAGGATTATTATAGGCTAAAGGTGGCTAAAGTGTCATCGTTGTACATGAATTTAGAAAAAAATATACCCAGCTGTAATAGTCACTGAGTGAGCTGAGATATTTGCTTATAGATGGCATAATTTCTCAGATTAAACTTCCAGAGTGAAGATAATGATACAATGCTGTATAAGACAACATAGAATGTTGTTCTCTGAAGACACACAATTGAAAAATTTAAAGATCATAGTCCTGTGTACAGCTTATCTTCAAAATTTGGGGTAAAAAGTAAAAATAAACATAAAATATTAAGAATAGGCATATGTAGAAGGACCTTACAAGGACATTCAATATCCTATTTCTGCTTTGCTATAGATTTTATTTGTTAAGTAAAACAACATGGAAAATATAAATAACAATATCTTTACAATTAAAATCTTAGATTCAAGGGGACAAGATGGCTGCGCCGGGAGAACAGGGTGTCTGAGGAGCCGGAAAACATTTCTGGTACAGCGACCAAGAGACTGAACCCTGGGCCCTAAAACAAGAGTGATCGTGTTTTTCAAGTGAGAGGAAACCCCCACGGCGTGGGAATCGGTCTTGACCACTCTCAGGTCCTCCAGCCAGAACCCGGAAGAGATCCTGGGTCATGCAGGCAATAGGTCCCCAGACCAGAGCCACACACCTGTGTGTCCTGATCACCTTCCCAGGCTGATCGGTGGGCACAAAAACACCAGAGACTGGGAGTCCCTATCTCCAGAGAATCCACAGGGAAGGAAGGAAACTGTACTGACTTAAATCATCCAGTCCTTCCCTGGAAAAAGTCTCGAAGACCGGCGGGGCCAAGCCGCCAACACTGAGTTGTGCTGAAGACACAGGCAGTTTCTGCGTGCCAGCTAGCTGGCGGAGACTGAGTGGTGCACCCCAGGGCAAAAAAGAGACTGGGATTCTCTGTCTCCAGCGAATCCACAAGGAAGGAAGGAAACTGTACTGATTTAAATCACCCAATCCTTCCCTGGAAAAAGTCTCGCAGACCAGCGGGGCCAAGCCGCCATCACTCAGCTGTGCTCCAGACACAGGCACAAACAGTTGCTGCGTGCCAGATGTCCAACTGTGTCACAGCAGCTGATCATTAAATTTACAGCAAGAAACCCAGAAACAGTGCAGCTGTCTTCAGGAATTCCTTGGGTGAAAGAACCCTCTCAGCTAACAAAGACCACAGTTACCACTCAGGTCTCTATCCCTGAGGTGAGCAGCAGCAACTCCTGAAAAAACACCAGCCATCCAGGGACTATACCCAAAAAGCTGAGAAGACTTCCTTCAAGAAAAACCAGCATTCTGCCAAGGGGATTCTCTCCGCCACAGGATCCCCAGGAACCACCAGAAAATAACCCCAAACACCTAAGATAGCCCAATGGGTAGAGGCCAGCATAAAAGGTCAAGCAACAAAAGACAGAGCAATATGGCATCTCCAGAACCCAGTTACCCAGGGGCAAGTAGCCCTGGACACCCCAGCATAACTGAAATCCAAGAAAATGACCTAACAACTATGCTCATGAAGATGATAACAAATTTATGGAAACAAATAAGATACATAAAGACATAGAGAATATTGCCATCCGTAAAGAAATAGAGGAAGTTGCAGCCAAACAGTTTGTGGCCTTCAGAAAGGAAATGCTTAAAGCACTGAATGAAATAAAAGAAACAGAGGTTGGGTCAAACAAACAGCTGAAAGAAGTGATGGAAAAATAGGAAAATACAGTCAGAGAGGTGAAGGAAATCAACAAAATGGCTCAAGATCTGAAGATAGAATTGGAAAAATTAAAGAACACACAAATGGAGGAAATTGCAGAGAGAAACAACGTAGGGAAGAAAACAGGAACTACAGAGGTTAGCATAATTAATAGACTACAAGAGATGAAAGAAAGAATCTCAGGTGTGGAAGATACAATGGAAGAAATCAATTTCTCTGTCAAAGAAAATGTTAAATCCAAAAAATTCTTGACACAGACCGTCCAA